TCGTCCTGCCTGGACTATGGGCCCCCAGCAGCCTCTGGACCTCTGGACCTCTGCACGCCATTCTTTGGGTCGGCATAACATGCCTGTGACATTTCTTCAGTTTGGGATCACTAACACACCACTATTCCCCTGGTGACAGTGTTGAGGGGCACCATCGACTGGCTCGGCAGTCTCCACGTCACCTAGCAGAGTTCCTCAGATGTAGAAAGGGCTCTTGTCTGTGTTTTCTGGTCTACAAATTAGCTAAACTGACACAGACTGACACATCTACCACACTCCAACAAAGGAAGAGGGAAACGCCAGGATAGAAACATCTTTGTTCTGTCTGTACCAGATGAATAGGGAGTGTGTAGAAGAGGGCACGCACAGACGTTAGAAAGAAAACAAGGGTGCAGCATCAGAATGGGGTACCATCCAACCTCTCCTCCTACTGAAGGCGTGTTCATAACAACTGCCTCAAAACACCAGCCCCGGTCCCAGCAGAGAGCCCATTAAGAATGTCGTCAACTCATTTAAGTTCAGTCGATAATTAACGGAGCTACCTCTGGTATCAATAATGTATGGACTGGCATATAGATGAAGCATAATTTGCAATGTGTATATAAAATGACATTTTTATACATAAATACAGACTTGGGCTCTTGTGTTGAGCAATTTCCAAAAAAAATGTTTTATTTGGATCTCTACTCAGTAGGTCGTCCCCATCACCACTGCCATATCCACATCCTGCCTCTCATCCCTGACCCCCCAAAAAAGGCAAGAGTGAGGGACAGAGGAAGAGAGGATGAAGAACACTGCACTGGTCTTAGGGATCCAGAACCATCGGGCTGCTGAGAAAACTGGGGCTGCACGCCACCGTAGAAACAACAAGTGAATCTGGTCAAATCAGCCTGAATTTTGGCTCCTCCATCTACCGTGTGATCCAAGCTCACCGGGATTAAGTTCCCACAGCTGTAAAGGAGCAGTGCCATCCCTCACAGGATTGTTTTGGGGGTTAAATGGGAAAACGGCAACCAGACCACATAGGAGCTCGAAGTCTTCAAGTCCAAAGACAGACCCAAACTGATCTCCTTTCCTGGTACTTCTTGCTCACACAAAAGCGGGGCGGGCAGAGGGAAGCCACGGAAGAAGGCAATAAGTGGCTACCAAAACCACAGCCGCCATCTGTTCTTTGCTTGCTTTGTGAGAGTCTCTGAGATGCCAACACGTCAACTCCAAGAGCACTGCTTCCAGCCAGCTGGGCAGGGCTGCTGGGGGTCACAGGGGGCCACGGGAGGGCACAGACTCCTTCCCCAGCCTCCCAGGACCAGGTGTGCAGCCACCGCCCAGCTGGGCACCGAACATCTTTGGTTCCGCCTCTCCCCACACCGGTCAGGTCTTGGGCAGAACACACTAGTTCAGCATTTGTACGTCCATAGAGGGAAGCAATAAAAGGGTTCTTGCAAGGTTAAAAGGATGTGGCTTTTAAACACACACACGCCACAGAGAATCCCTTTCCCCACACCTTCTATTTGCAGCAGTCAAGGTCAAAGCAAGTGGGCTCCTCAGGAATCCCTACCACCACCACTCCCAGCCCCGGCCAGGGGAGAGGTAACCACTCTCTCTTCCCTACGGGGCGGCCTCCTGCCCAGCCTGTGTCTTCACTGCACTGCCCGGCGGTTCTCCCAGCAGCCAAAGCTAGCTGGTCTGAAAAGTTACAGCACTTCAGGGGACAGTGATGAAGCCGTCCAGAAGGGGCTGGGTTCACAGTGCTTCCTTTACTCCAGGGAGCTGCATTTTTCTACGATTATTATTCCTTGGGCTGGCTACTCAGCTACTCAGCGTCATTTCCCCTTTGGGTGGGAAAGTTCTTTCCTTCTGCATTGATTTTCATTAGGGCTTAAGCCTTTTTCTTCCCCCTTTCATCTGCAGATCTCACAATTAAAGCATGGCCCATGGAACACAAAAATCAAGGCATATACATTTAGGTGCTCAGAACTGTGGCTCAGAAGCCCTAAGCTGTTAATACACACACCAAGAAAAAGAAAACCTCTAGGACTTAGCATCTTCTCTGTCTCCGCCAGCTCAAACACCAGCAAAGAACTCAATCTAAATGGCCAGCGGGATGATAGGTGGATACACAGATGGGAGACTTGCGGCCTAATGCTGGCAGACAACCCACAGATGGAACACAAGCAAGGTTACTCAGCAGTGAGACTCCCGAACTCTGCCAAGAGGGAAAGGACTAGAAATGGCCCCCAAAGAAGAAAAGGACATCTCTGGCCACTGCTGTGGACGCCTGTGTATCCAGAAGCCCAAGCCATGAGTGCCAGGCACTGACCACCAGTATCTCCACAGCAGAAGGGGCTGCAGGCAGTTTCCCTTGACAATCAAAGGAAGCAGATCATTTGTAAGACTTGGGGCTTATTACCAGCAGGAGTGAGCACCTCCCCAAACACAAAGATGTTACTGCAGGGCCTGGATGGCCATCTGTCAGGGGTGCTGAGAGGCCAGAATCCGCAGTGTGACCCAGAGGGCCTCTGGAGGCTCCTTCAGTGTCGAGACTTTGCTGCCTTGGAAACTAATGGATTGTACTTTGTGATACATGGTGGCCAGTCAAAAAGGGTCCGAAGAAAATCCTGGGGGGTTATTAGGAATCTCGGGCTCACTGAAGTCACTTATTGCTAGATTTCTTGTTCGTTGTTTCCTTTTCCCTCTGACATTGCTTGAGCCACCACCAGAAAACAAACGAGCACAGGACATGCTTGCATCCTCAGCCGGGTTACTAGTGTCTAGTGGTTTTCAACAGGTAATCAATCTCCTCTCTTAATCTCACCTTTCTAACATCCCACCTGAGGTCCAGCTTTAGCTCACCTAAGAGCAGGTGCATCTTGGGTGGGCTTTGTGGGGATGCCAGGAGAGACCTTCTTCGGTAAAAGAAGTTTTGGACTGCTCTGGCTCCTGCTACCTGCTCTGGGCACTCCCACGTGCATTCTCCCAGAGCCTCATGCAGCTGAAGCCTCCAATGCTCTCTGCTCCCCAAATGCATCAAACTGGGAAGGATGCAGAACTAGGTAGGACTAGCAGTGTTACCTGCCATATCTATGAAGAAGTGTGGGTCACTTGGGGGGGAAGAGGGGAAATGTCCCGACTAGCAAAGGAGATCAGCCCCATTTCTCACCTGCTCAGACCCCTAAGCCAATTCCTTCCACTGCCCCTCTCCCTGTGGAATGCCCAGCTCTCTGTGATGTGGAGGGGGTCCCGGCCATGAGAAGGAAAGAGACACATGTGCCAGCCTTAGCCAGTCATGTCCCTGCAAGTCAGCATCCCTTCCCAGCCACCCCTAACAAGACTGGGGTCCCACAGCTAACAATGCCTGACCCCCAGACAGAGAAGCCTGCCTTCAGCTCCTGGGTGTCTCCTCTGAAATGGCCTCAATCCCCTGCACCCACTTTCCATTTAGAAAACTCACAAAATACTACACGGTGTTCCTTAGTTACTTTTCTAGTGCGAGAGAGTCAGGGAATGTTCTCTTTTATGTTCTTGATTCCTTCTCGTGGAACTTAAGACAATGTATAAGTTATCTGAAGCGAGAGTCACAGTGGGTATGTCTCTGATAGGTCTTTTAAAGCTGTTCTCTCCCCTCTCTTCCCTTACTGTTATTCAGTTTCTCAGTCTCGTGCCAGTGCCTTAGAAATTCACAAGGACAAGGCATTCTGCAGCGATGAGGGTACTCTTGAACATGGAGTTGAGTTTTTACTGGGAGGTGTATGTTTTTAAAAACGTTTTTCTTATTTAGGGGAAGCACCCCTAGGTTCAGTGAAGCAAGCGAATTCCTATGTCAGATAGTGTGTGTGATATGAGAAACTTAAGTAAAGTGCCAATTAGATGAAATCTTCCCACTCTACATGTGAACTTCAAATTAGTGTCTAGTGTTGCAAGCAACCTTGCTTTTTCCAGGGTAACCCTGAGTGAGAGCGCACGCCTTGTGTCACTCACAGGAAGGCAGTGGCTAACACCACCACACTGCTGACTAGTCAAAGAGCTTTCATTTATTTTTACTTTCATTTTGTCACACCATCACTAGAAGGCCAGGAGATAACAGGGATGATTACTTCCATTTCACAGATGGAGACACTGAGATCAAAAGACGTGACTCTCAAGGTCACAAGGGTATCATGGTTGGAATTCCACTAGGTCCTTGGCATTTCTTCCAGATCTAAAGGAAGAACTGGATAAAAGTCCAGAGCAGAGTGGGCAGGTCCCTTTCTGAGCAGGACAGGCAGGGGCTATGTATGGAACACCAGCAGCCCACTGGGAAAGTGGGTAAGGTGGGTAAGGGTGGGGGCGGGGCGGGGGACTCAGGGACAGCCCTGTCAGCGTTGGCCTTGCAGGGGTTTGCCCTTGCAACTCCCCACCTTCACACTGTTCCCCCCTCCTCCCCTCCCGGTCCCTCCTCTGCTTGTAGAGTGAACCAGTAGACTGTTGTGTTTCCAACTATACACCCTTTGTCCTTTACAACATCCTCAAGGCTAGAACCCTTAAATATCAGTTATTTATATTTGAAAGTTAGGTTCTGCACTTGGAGAGGCCATTTCTGTATCAATAGGAAAAGACTGGAATTGGGGGAATTGCCGGGAAGATGTTCCCACCTCAGAGGTGGGAGAAGCTCTTTTGGAAGGTTTGCGGGGCGGTGGTTCTTTTCTTTTTGTTAAAGGGAGGTGTCGGGGAAGAGGTCCAGGGTACACCACGGAAGACAAGTTTTCTTCCAAGGGGGGGCGGGGGAAGGACGGTCACACACACCCCGGTCCCGCCACCAGCGATGGAGTCCAGGAAAGCCACTCTCCCCGCTCGCCGCCCTCCCTCGCGGCCCACCCCCGGGGTCCCCCGCGGCCCAGGTAATTGGGGCCCCCGGCCGGGACCGAGCGCGCGGAGGGGCCTAGGGCGGGGGATGCGGCCCCGAAGCGCGCCCACGCCCCCAGCCCGAGGCTCCCCGGCGCCCGGCCGCGGCTCTCACTCACCCGCGCTCCCGCCGTGGGGGGCCCGGTGCGAGGCTCCCCGGCGTGTGGCGGCGGCCGGCGCGAGGGCCGTGCGGCTGGGGTCGGGGGGCGCGGGCCCGCGGCGCTCCTGGGGCGGCGTGGGCGGCGTCGGCTCGCGCTCGGGGCCGGGCTCGGGCTCCGGCGGCCGCGCCAGCCCGGCTCCTGCGCGGGGCGCCCCGCTCGGCGCGCGGCGGGCCGGGGAGGGCGGCTGCCCCCACGTCCCGGGGGCGGCCGGCGGCGGCGGCAGCAGCAGCAGCAGCAGCACCAGCAGCGGCGGCGGCGGCAGCGGCAGCGGCAGCGGCGGCGAGGCCATGGTGGCGGCGCCCGCCCGCGCTCACATGCCCGGCGCGCGGGGCGGGCGCGGGGCGGCCGCGGGTGCGAGGGAAGCGGGCGGCGGGCGCCGCGCAGGGCCGGGGAAGTGAGCGAAGTGAGGCTGCGAGCGCAGTCCCCGCCTCAAAAGTTGTGGGGAGCCGCGGGAGGGCGGCCGGGGCCGGGCGGGCGCGGCGGAGGCGGAGGCGGCCCCGGCGCCGCTACATGCTAATTAGCCCGGGCGGGCCGCGGGCGGGCGGGCGGCTCCTCCTCGGGTTGACATCACCGGCCGAGCGCGGCCGGGCCCGGGGGCGGGGAGAGGGCAGGAAGGGGGCGGGGGCCGGCCGGGGACCGCGGGGTGAGGGCCACACTGCCGGCCAACTTCGGTCGCACACGCACACGCCCTCCCCACCCCATTACTGCTACTTCGCCTTTGGGAGAAAACCCAGAAAAACCGAGTCCTCCGAATCGGCAACCAGCATTGCCCAACTCCTTAAATGCACAGTAAATGGGTGAAAAGCAGGTACCGGGTGATGTGATGAGCGCTAACTGGATTGCACAAAGCGCTTTGATACGTGAGGGGAGTGGAACCTGTTCCGCTGCTCCTCACAGCGCGCGGTCACAGCCCCTTGCTCGTTTGAACTGCCCCCCACCCCTACCCTATTGCCGCCGCCACCACGACTACTCCTCTGGGCCCCTGGGCTGGTGCCTGGTCCGCTGTTGCCAAGCCTAACACCTCGCCCTGTGGCCAACCCGAGAGTCATCCTATCCCCCAGCGCCTCCTCAAGCCTAGACTCCCTCCCCATCGGACCACTGCCTTTGGCTCCCACCAAGAGTTCTGCAGAAATGTCACCTCCGGGACACCCAAACAGGCCGCAGGGAAAAGAAAACTGAATTCAGGCATGGCTAGGCAAACTCATAATCAGGAAAAGGGCTGCAGATCAAAAAAATTAAAAGAACACACAGGGATCACTGAATTTTAAATGAAAACTTTCAGGGGAGAAATTCAAAGATTTAGTGAAAACAACATTTCCTGGCAAATGAAGTTCCCTTTGTGTCCATATCCCTTCCCTTCCCAGTAAATAAAGGATAAAATGTCTAAATTGTAGGGACTGCAAGAGTCTTTACTTCTACGTGAAGAAAGAGGGGCTCAAAATCGGAAAATAATGGACTCAAAATTCTGAAGCTAGACTCACAGATTAAGAGATTTACCTGTAAAGGCCTGTGTGGCATTGTCAATTCTGGTCCCATAATTCAGAATTTGCAATAATCTAGACGATGTCTCAACTGAAATGAATATTGGAGTTTCTTGGGGAATCTCGTCAGTTCCACAGGGGACTCCTGTCTGATCACCAGATGCTCAGGAAACTATGAGTATGGACTTCCCTTTCAGGCCTGGCTCTCCCCCCTATTTCTCCGCTCCTCTCTGCTGTCTGCAGAGCTCCATGACCCCCACCTCCAGGGTCATGAGCAGATCATGGTGTCCAGGGCAGCTGCAGATGGCCCTAGGCCCACTTTCTTCTGATTCAGTCCAAGTGAGTCACTTGGCAGAAAACATAAAGGATACTGTGTATGGACAACCTCACCTTAAAAAGGGGAGTGGGGAGTAACAATGTAGTTTTGTTTTATTTTGTTTTGAACAACCACAAGACAAACCCAACTTGCCAGGGCCCTCACATGGAGTTTCCAGGTCCTTCCAAGAAAGTACCATGCAGTGATCCCCCTGTAAGTAACTTGATTCGCTCTCGGGGCCCCAGCCCAACTTCTCAGGATCCTGGTCTCATATTAACAGGCAGAGCTGCCCAGCTGCCCAGACATAGCCAGACCAGCTCCAATAAGCCAAGACACCATGCTCAGAGGTTCTCATCACCAGCACTCCCTCCCTTCCTCAGAGTACATTTCACACAGGACAGGTCGCCCTCCCAGGCAACCAGTGACATTTAAGGGTTTAATGGCCCTAACCGGCTTCTCCTGTGGCTTCAGAGATCCCACTACAGAGTCTGCAGTTCCTCACCAAAGCCCAACAAGCAAACGTGCGTGTGGGACATGTCGCTCCCTTTCAGGCACCACAGACCTCTCTCTCTCTCTCTCTCTCTCTCTCTAATATCCTCTTTGCCTCCTAAGAGAAATAACCAAGCACACGTCAGCTGGGAAGGGCTTAACCTGTAGAGGAGGAGGGGGAGATGCAGAAGAACCTGGAAAGATGGAACACGATGAAATGGACCCTGGCACTTTTTCACCTCCTTCTAGGACAGAATAAGAGAAAACAGCAAGAGAGACTTGGAGGCAGACAGAACCTTAGAAAGAGCAGTCAGCTTGGTCTTGGAATCCCGGTCTCTTGTCCTGACTTCACCACTGTTTAACTGTGTGATCTCAGCCTCCATCTCCTCATCTGTGAAACAAAGATTGTCTGAGATGACTGCTAAGGAGTGTCCCAGTGCTGGTGTTTTAGGGCCCAGCAGAGACTTCCGACACAGGAGCAAGGAGGTATGAAACAGGTGTTTAAGGATGTTTGTGGTGTTTCCTTCCCAGGGATATGAAAATCCAAATAAGATTTTTGGTCACCCTAAATGGCTTAGAAGAGCCCCATCTGGAGCCAGGGGACAAATCAGATGAAATCTCAGATGTATCCCAGCCCTAGGAATCTACTGAACTAAAGTGAAACAGTTGGAAAGCCATTTTGGACCAAGTTCCCAGACGGAGCGAGTTAGGAGTCAGGCATTCCCGACCTCTCCATGGGTGGGACTGGGGATACTCTGAAGTGGTTGACAGTGAACTCAGCAGTAAGCCAGGTACCTCCACCACCCAGTGCAGCATGTGGTCAGAGTTTCTGCAGGGGCTTTCCGTGTCTGCATGTTGATTAGGTTAGGTTGAGGCCAGACTTCAGTACTATAAGCCCCCTCAAGTGCTGCAGCTTCACATCATAGATGTTTTATTCTTTTGTTCTCTTAGGCACTGACGTTCAGTGCCTTGAGCAGTGGCTTGCTCTTTTCCACACAGCCTTCCGGGGACCCACACACTATGGCAGCTCTGCCATTTTCTAACGTATGGCTTCCAAAGTTGCCCTTGGAATTGACATTCCAATCAGCCAGAGGTGAAAAGAACATGGAGATGTGAGCATGGGAGGTTTTAAAGGGCCAGGCCTGGAAGTGGCACCCTTCACTTCCTCTTACACCCCACTGGGAAAAACATGGCCACATGGCTCACCAAACTGCAAAGGGGTCTGAGAAATACAATCTAGCCATATAGGCAAAGAAGGAGAGAAGGGATCTGGGTAGATAGCTAGCAGTCTCTGCCCTACCTCTCACCATCAGAAGGGCAGGGAAAGGAGAGGGAGGGTAAAGGATTTTCATTGCTCTGGTCTCAGTTTCCTCCTTCATAAAACAAGGGTGTTGAGTCAGATGATCTCTGAGGGCACATCTGCTTCAGCATTCTGTGGTTCCAAGAGCTGATGAAATGTCCTTCTGCACCAAAGTAAACAAGCCTACAAACTCCTGTTGCAGCTCATCCTTGGCCTGAGGAGTTCTCCTCTGCCAACTAGTGTGGCTGGTGCGACCCCGTAGAGAGGGCTTTGGGTTCCCTTCAAGTTCCGTTCCCAAACTGTCCTCACTCCTTGGCCAAGTCCGGTCATCTCCGTTGACCTCAGTCTCCCCACCTGTAGAGTGGGGAGAGAAATCATTACCCTTTGCTTCATCCTCGGGTTGGTCTGAGGATATGATGAGATCACCGTCCAGAAGGCACAGAGCTCTTCCAACTGAAGCACTCCACAAGATGCTCTAATTGTAACCAGAGCCTTCAATAACACTGCACTCTGATAAGGCTTGATGTGCACCCAGCTCCTTAGGACAGTGCCCTGTAGGATTCGTGGCAGTGTGGGGTGGCTTGCCCTGGATGGGATACAGCGGTGGCTGCATAGCAGTAACATCATAGGACTAGGATCCCTGAGGGCTGAGATCAGCCAGCCACTTGGATTGAGCTTCATCCGGGGGTGGTGAGCTGGGCCCAGACAGCACCGTCTCCTCTGGGCTGCTCCTCCGCTATGTACTCATCACCCCATTATACCCTGAGTCTGTTTAGTCATTCTCTCATCTGCTTGTCCCCTGCCCCATCCCCCAATTTATGAGCTGCTTTCTGAGAAGCTCCATGCCTCATTCATCTTCGTATCCCCAGACTCCAACACAGTACCTTCTGTCTTTTATTTAGTCATTCAACAAGTATTTACTAAGTGGCTACTCTGTGCCTAGCTTTGTGCCGGGTGCTGGGTGAGTCTCAGACTTCATAGACCTTAAAGATTTGGAGGAGACAGACAATAATCAAAAGAACATAAATGTAAATTTGTCACTGTGGAAGGTTCCCGGAAGGAGAACACTTGGGAGGGGCCTTCAGTTTTCCTGTAAACCTGAGACTGAGCCACCCTCTGAAATCTGTATATGCAATTAATAGGCTGTTAGTCAGGCAAAGGAGAGCAGGGATACTATGTGCAAAGGTTCTGAGGCAGGAAGAATTGGGATAAATGCAAACCACCAAAAGAAAACCAATGTGACTGGAGCACAGAGTGAGGAAGAGTGTGGAGGGAAGTGAGGCTGGAGATCTTGATAGCAACCAGATCAGGTAGACCCTCACAGCTCATTTTAAAGGTTTTTGCTTTACCTTAAAAACTTAGGGAAGTCATTTTAAGGCTTTAAGTTGGAGAGGTAGGGTGAGGTGGGAGTGGAAAAGAGAAAGGGGTGAGGAGTGACATGATTTGCAACAGAATAATAAATCATTATTCTGGCTATGATAAGGGGAATGAATGACTTAGAGAGACACAAGAGCTGATGTCTGAACTCTTGGAGTCCAAGCAAGAGATTATAATTCTTGGACAAGGATGATAGAAATAAGTTCATAGAAGAATATAGATTTGAGATTGTAGGAGGAAAATCCACAAGATACATTGATGGATGTGGAAGATGAGGGAGAAGAGGT